GAAAGTATATATCACATGAAACGAAAGCAACTTACATTTAAAGGAAATGTTTAATATACAAATAAATATTAAGTTTTTTCTTTTTGTAAATTTTGATACCTTTAGATCATAATTGTTCTTTATTTCATAAATTACGGTTTCATATTTTTAATTTTGTAATTTTTGCATGCCATCTTACCAGATTTAAACTGATGATCTATAATCCGGAAAAATCGATAATCCGGAATCGCCGAAGTCCCGACGAGTCCGGATTAACGACTTTTGACTGTACAGTTTTTTGAAATATTAGAGTTTATAACTAAACATCACAAAGATAAAGGGTTAAAGTTTTCCTTTAAAAACTTTGCTGTAATTTAGGCTAGCACCCTAATTACTTTTACTACTTGCTCGTATAAAAAATACTGAAATTAAGGAATGTCAGAGTTCCAACTGATTGATCTGTAGACATAACTGCTTATTTTAATCCTCACATTTTAAAATATTCTTATTTTACATTTATAGGATTTCAATGGACTTCAGTTATTAGTCTTTCTGATAAAAATGTTCTAAATTTCTTTTATATATACACTTTCTTGCAAAAAATTCGAACCACCTAGGACTTTTGCGATCGTGACAAAATTTGGTATGCAAAAACATCTTGATCGAACATGCAAATGATCAAAGTTTCAAGGCAAATGAACAGGAATTGCGATCATAGCATGCATTTCTAGTGCGCAATTTGTAAAGTATAAAACCAGTAACAAAGGTGGAATTTTTTTTTTGTTGCTGCCATTGTAATTCTGTAAAGAAGAAACTAAAGATGACATTACAGTGATATTGAAGACTTTACAGACAACTAAACGACTTCGAACATCGTTTAGTTGTCTGTAATAGTATTGTAGTATTGTCTTCAATAGTATTGTAGGATAGGGTTGTGTAAAGCTGAGTGGTCATACCGAGCAATAAGCCACCATCTGCAGCGTACAGAAACTGCTGTGCAAAGATGTTGGCAGCAATGGTTGCTACAAGGAAATTGCCAATGAAATGAAGGCTCTGGAAGGCCAAGGATCTCAAATGCAAGCCAATGATTGTTCGCCAGGCCCGAACCGCCCTAAGGGTATCATTGTCGACTATTCAATGCACTACAGCCATGTGTATACCTCCGGTGGTACTGTTCACCATCTCACGGCACTTGTCTGAGGCGAGGTTATGCTCACAGAGACCTTTAAGAAAGTTGCCTTTAACCCCACAACATCGGCAGTGTCGTCTGGAGTGGTCTCGCAGCCAATTATCATGGCTGCCATCAGACTGGCATCATATAGTGTTCAGCAATGAATCCCGCTTCACTCTTGAAGCAGATGACCACCGTGTTCATGTCTGGAGAGGACGGGGCCAGCGGTCCCAATCAGCCTTTGTTTTAGAAAGCCATACAGGCGGTAACCCCTTGGGTGATGGTGTGAGGTGCTATTTCTTATGAAAGCAGGTCATCTTTAGTCATCCTTCGTACATCTTTAGCACCTCAACGATACGTTGATAGCATCCTGCAGCCAGTTGCATTACCCTTCATTGCACATCATCCTGGGGCTCTTTTCCAACAAGATAATGCCAGGCCACATACCACTCACATATCTCTGGACTGTCTACCTGCAGTTGATACTCTTCCTTGGCCAGCAAGATCAACAGACCTTTCATCAATCGGGCATGTCTGGGACATGGTGTGCCACCAGATTCGGGCACCACAAAATATCGCAGATCTGGAGCGACAACTGATAAATACCTAGCAGAATGTTTGCAAGATAACATTAGGAACCTCTACCACTCCTTGCCTCAACGAATTCAAGCATGCATTGCCATCAGGAGCGGTTTGACCAACTACTAATTTGAACACTCAGTGGTTGATTGTGAGCCGTGAACAAATACCATAACCTTGATTTTTTAAAGCTATACACATATTCAATTTCATCAAAAACAACCCCTTCCTTCATATTGCTTTAATTTTCTTGCAAAAGAGTGCATATATATATATATATATATATAATATATACATACCGCAATTTCCGGAAGAAAGGCCACATCAGCGTAAACGCCGCACTCGAGAAAAATGATGGGAAAAAAATTTAAATTACACAGAAACGCCGCAATAGATTAAATTGCGCGTGGCATCTTTGTAGGCCATATAGATGCAAAATCTCAACCTGATATATGACATATAAGTTATCTAAGTCCTGATATATGACATATAAGTTAAGAAAAATGCATGAAATGAAACCATAAGTCAAAAATAAAGGTAAATGTTGAAAATATATTTACGTTCACGTATATACTTACATTTACCCACTAAAGAAGTCCATATTTGTAATACTCAGGACTATATTATAAAAAATGTTGCAACAACGAAATATTAAATTTGGATGACAAAAGGAAATTTTAAATTTTACTTACAAAAGGAAATGCAGCAAACTATACATCATATGAAGCCATCAAAATCTGATTCTTCACTACCTGAATTAAAAAGATTTAGTAAATCCTGATTTAAGTCCCAGATTGTCACATTCATCCTCTTGGTTTACAGTCTCTTTATCTAAGGATATAATTTCAGCTTTTTTGAACCCTGCTATTGTTGATGATGTTTTTACAGATTTCCACGCACTTCCTACCCACTTTGCAACTTCATAAGATGATCTACGCATTTTAACACTCTTGGCATACGTATGCAATCCTTCACTCATCCAACATTCCCACCGCTTTTGGACTTCAGGCTTGAAAGGATTTATTACCAGACAAATCTAATGGTTGTAAGATTTTTGTCAAACCACAAGGAATTATTGCTACAGTCGCAGCCAATTTTTGACATCTGGTTTTCAGTGACTCAAGTAAATGAGCACGAATGGAATCCATTACCAATAACCCTTTTGGTTGGAAAAAAAGATCCCTTACGACACTGCCAAACTTTTGGTAGCCACTCGTGTATAATTGTTTTGCACATCCAGCCGTTCTCGTTTGCACAAATAATTACGTCATTAGGAAAATCTCCCTTCGGAATAGTCTTTCATTTAAAAATTATCATCAGCTTTAGCTTGTCACCATTTGCAGCACAAGCTAACACACATGTAGATGATGTTCTTTTATGCCCCGTCGTAAGCACAGATACAGTTTTTACACCAGCTTCATCAACAGTTCTGTTTGCAGAAGAGTCGAAAGCTAACAGTGTTTAATCCATATTTATTATCTGTGATCGAAGAAGTTTTTTTACTGTCAATAATATCTGTCATATATTTTAGAAAAATGCCTTTTTATCTTGCCAGTCCATTGGTAATTGTTGCCCGACTGTTGTTCTAGTACGCAAAAAAATATTTTTTCTTTTCATAAATCTGCTACACCAGCAAGGCCTTCCTTTGAAATCATTTATGTTCATTTGTTTTGCTATAAATTTTGCTTGTAAGTGAACTTTTACAGTCGAAATTGCCATTTCCTTTCCTTGTTGCTCCTTTATCCAGTTTGCAAGGTCGTCCTCTAGATTCGGCCACCCTACAATACCACTTCTTTTGCCTCGTTTCTGTTGTGGCATATTTTTAAGAAGTTCTTTTTCACTTCTCCAACATCGAATACATCTCTCATCCACTTCAAACTCTCAAGCTTCTGCTCTATTTCCAATTTGTTCAGCACATGAAATTACATTAAGCTTAAAACCAACAGTATAGCTTCTGTGCCGTTCAGGTGCCATTTTCAAAAATTTTCCGCTCCCTTCTTACTTAAAAACTATCCAACAAGTACTTTTACCCAAAAAAATCGATTCATGCTGAAGGGGAAGTACGTCAGGGCAGGTGGAGTCGTGTCTCCATTTGAAAAAAATTGCAGAAAAGGCAGGGGTAGGGAGAGGATGGGTTCTGGAAGATTCATCGAATGGCAGAGGAGAGAGATTATTCAAACTGATGAGAATGTTGATTTGAAAGGGAGAAGAATGTTTTTTCTGAGATCCCGTTTAGGGTGAATAAGGCATGTAAGTCCATTCAAAGGAAAGAATGTAAACAAAATAACGTTCGCAAAAAGCAACTGCGTGGTCTTTTGTGTGGGAACAGCACCAGTCTATGTACAATGGCAAGGCCATCCAAACTATGTACAATGACCATCATAGGAAATATTTTATTTTTAATGTACCTAAACGCCGCATAGGTAGAAATGCCGCACCTGCTGAAAATTTAAGTTTTAAACATGTAAACGCCTCGGTGTTTCTTCCGGAAATTACGGTATATATAAGCTGTTTTTTCAGTCACAGTTAAAAGCAACCTTTAAACTGGCACACCAGTTTTAACTTTTTAAATGACATTCTATCAATTTTCTAGTCAGGCACTGCTTTTAATTAATTACACAAATAATTTACTACATGCATTTATTACGTCAGGTTTACAGCAATTAATTGCACATATCTACAAAATTTTACGACTCAATTCATAATAAATCAAGATATGAAAAACATTCCTTTTAATATTCTTTCTAACATATACATCTCTTATAATATCTATAAAGCCTCTAAATGTTTTTATAACAGACATGTTACATTCCCTTGTTATATTTTGTGAATTTTTGAAATGGTCTTAAAGTGCTCTTTAAGGAATGATTTTGCTTCAGGAGAAGAACAGCTCATAGATGTTCAAACTAGCAGCAGGATGATTAAAAATAGTTACAATTTAGTTTGCTATGAACTGATAGAAAATAGATATCTGTTTGCGAAAGAAAACTTTTCTTAATTTTTAAATCCATGGAAATTTAAATCAGCTGCATAAAATAAATTTCTTTCTACAAACAGCAATTTTCTCAAAAATTAGTCTGTCATTATCTAGCATCTGGCCACTTTGCAGAGATTAGTAAAAAAATAATATTAAAACTTTAAAGACCCGCTGTGTACACATATCAAATAAAGTATATTTAGTTCTTTTATCTTATTATTCTAGGAGCTTTGATAAAATCAAATCTCGGTACAAAGACAAAAGTATCTAGTTATAAATTTTAAAAAAACTTACACTGGCAGAAAGCTAAAGCTGATAAATCAGACTTTGAGTAGACACAGTCATAACGATTATTACCAGTGCAAGCTAGCATAACCTAAAATAAAATAATTTAAGGGAAAATGAAAAGTACTTTAATGGGGGTTTAAAAGGTACATAAATATACAAAAGTCACTCTGAAATCAAAGAGATTACGTACATGCTGAATTGGAGACGCTGTCCTGATTTTCAAAGGTGGTTTAGTAGCAGCATTATATATAATAAAATCAATGCTATAAAATTCATAAAATATGAGCATTAATTTCTTAAAGTATATTTATTAAAGTACTTTTTAAATGCCAAAATAATTACTTAGTGCCACTTTTTAATTTAAAAGCATTAAATATTCTATTGTTTACAAAAACTGATTTTATATAATAACTAAGTCATTTCAAAACCTGATTTCATTATATTCTCAAATAAAGGATACAGTATTCACTAAACATTTAATTTAAAATCAATGCCTTCACATTAATTTTATTTAAATTAAAATAATTCAGGATAATTATATTTTCAATTAATAAATAATATTTAAATATTTCTGGCTCTGAAAATGAAAATTTGAATATTTCCTACCTTACAAGTTTTACAAGTTTATAAAATGTTTAGTAAGTGCCTGATTAAATGTTTATGTTCATTTTAGTAGCACAAATTTTAGTTACTTAAGTCACATTCAGGCATAATACTGAAAGGATAATACAGTCAAAAGTCGTTAATTCGGACACCCATAATCCGGAATGATCTATAATCCGGACCTCAAAGCTAAAAACTTTCTGCGCACAGGCGTTTTACGTGTGCGCGTAAGGCCTTGACTACTGCGCATATGCGTGTGCGCAAGTGCAGAATACGTTTTCGCCTGCACGATTAATGTATAACTGACGGTGTAAGCTAAAATTATCTAATTATCTATTTCACTTAATGTTAATGATTGCGTTGTTCCTTAATCTTCGAATTGGATCCCGCTTATTATTTTTTGCAGACTGTCACAGCAATTTTATAAAAAGTAAGCTTGAACTTTCGATTATGTCAAAAAGAGTTTCCGATTGTGGGGCTGCCAAAGGATCTACAAAGCGAAAGCATGTTTCGATGTCCATCTAACAAAAAGTGGAATTGTTGCAAAAAATGGATAAAGGCATGGAGAAAGTGACAGAGAGGTTAGTGAAAATGAAAAAATTTCGATTGACAAGTTAGTCGGTATTCTCAGCAGAGCAATTAACGGGACTTGAACAGCGGAACTTTGTAACTGAACAAGAAATTATGTCTGTTTATAGAATTAAAGAGAAAGTATTATCACATAAAATGAAGCAACTTAAACAACTTATTGAAAGAAATGTTTAATAAAGTAAACAAATAAATATTAGCTTTTTTTTTTTGTAAATTTTGATACCCTTTAGATCATAATTTTCTTTATTTCATAAATTACGGTTTCATATTTTTAATTTAGAATTTCTGCATGCCATCTTACCGATTACCAAATTAAATGATATCTAATCCGGAAAAATCGATAATCCAGAATCGCCGAAGTCCCAACGAGTCCAGATTTAACGACTTTTGACTGTACTATAAGTATGTAATAAATGCATCTTTTTCAACTATAGCTAAAATAGTAATTAATTAAATAAATTTAATATATTGAATCATGTTTTAATTATGGCTGAGAATTAAAATAGTGAGAATGTTAAATTATGAGGATGAAACAAAATAGAATTTATTAAAATTCCACCAAATGTTCTCTATACAAACTATAAATGCTACAATATCTGTAATTTAAAAGTTAGGAAATTATTTAAAATAATTAGTTGCAAGAAATGGTCAATGACTAAAATGGACTAAATATTTCAGCAAGATTCCGCTTCCTTTTTTCTTACTGGGTATAATAATTTTATATTTAATTAAAAGGAATAAAAAATAATATTTAGAATAAATTCAGTATTCAATGCAAGATTGTCTCTACTACTTGCAAAATGAACATGGATAATAAATAGCTTTAATTAAAAATGAGAGTTTACTGTTTACAACTCCGGTATGGCTACAACTAAAGTTAAATACAGCAAAACTCTGAAGGGGTAAACTTTGAAAAGGACTCCTTTCTAAAGAGATGCTGACTTGTCTTTGTATGATATGAGGCAAATCCCCCCCCACCAAAAAAAGGGTTTATTTCACTCATTAGGACACTGTATTTGAGAAAAGCTACTAGTATTTTAAAGCTTAAACAATTAAGCCAACGCAAAACACAAATTCTAATATAAAGGTAATGAATTCTTAAATTCTCTTTTGAAACACACAAATTTATCTAGACATTTAGGTAAATTTCCTAACATACATAAAAAATCTTATGTAACATATGTAAAAAATCTTGTGTATCTTAAGATTAAACTAGCTTATATTCATATGAAATTTAAATTTACGATTCTGGAAGCTACAGCAGTCTTAAAGTCAACTGCTAAAGTGACTAACTGCTAAAGATAATTCCCATTCAAAAGCTGAAAGAATTTTATTATGAAGTTAAAAAGAATTTCAAGCTGAGAAAGGAAACCGACAATTTTATAGAAGACAAAATAAAATAATTTAATACTGAAATTTTTCTTGACAACTTATAAAAATATACAGTACAAAGTCCATAATCCGGACTCGTCGGGACTTCGGCGATTCCGGATTAAGGGTTTTTCCGGATTATAAATAATCAATTTAAATCTGGTAAGATGGCATGCAGAAATTATAAGACTAAAAATAGATGAACCTATTTATGAAAATAAAGAGCAATTATGATCTAAAGGGTATCAAAATTTACAAAAAAAAGCTTAATATTTATTTGTTTACTTTATTAAACATTTCTTTCAATGTAAATTTTTTAAGTTGCTTCGTTTTCTGTGCTAAATGCACATGCGTAACATTAAACACACATGCGTAAAGCATACAAAAAAAAGCTTGTGGCTTTGAGGTCCGGATTATAGATCATTCCGCATAATGGATGTCCGGATTACAGACTTTGTAGTGCATTATTGCAAATTCTTGAGCACTTTAGAATTCAATTAAAACTGTCCATCCAATTGTAATATGAACGATATTATTATGATAAAATACGTTTTTGAAGATGTTATAAAACACAGATGCAAAATTATTATTGATAAACATCTTGTCATAAAAATATAAAACTGCATTTATATCTCAAGATTAGATTTACTTACTTGTATTTACAGGAAAGAGCTTTCATTTCCACTTCTCCCGCCCATTCCTGACATTAAACAAAAATCAGTTTATTTCTAAAGTAACAGTGATTTCTAAATAAAAATATGAGATAAAGATTAATGTACTCAGAGAATACCTTTTACTATTTTATATTTACAGTAAAACCTGGAACTTAATTTGAAAAATTTGACCATTTAGGGAATTGCTCAGTAAATTATCCAAGCTTTGCACATTAAGGGAGAAAGAAAATATCAAAAAGGTGCTAGTTTACGAATTATTTTATTTAAAATATTAACATGCTATGATGTGCCCAGTTTCATTTATACTTATTTAACACTGAACTGTTTAGTTTTTTTTTATACTTGCAGAATATGGCAACCACCTTGGCATAATTTAGCAAATTTTATGGAAGGAAATGAACAATTACTTTTATAGCAAAAAAGTATGTGTTACTTATATGCATATTATTACATACATATTCTACATTTCAGTTGTATATTTATTCCAAAAGACAATCAGTATACATAGTTACAAATGGCTTTTTATTTTTGTTGTGGAGGAAATTTCGTAACTATTGTAGCCTTGGCTACTAATGTTTAAAAATAATTTATGACTAGGAACAGCATGAATTATAAACAAATAGCTAAGTTATTGCTTTTTTTCCAGCTATCGAAATGCGACGCTACAAGCACCGTTTTGAATCAAAACCTAGCAACATGAATCAGAACTAGAACTAGTTGCCATTCAGCATAAAGAAATTTAAATATACATATGAATATGAATATTACAAAAATATTAAAGTTAATTTTATGAAATAATTAAACATATGAACAAATATATGAAATAAAAAATAATTATTTCTCATGCAATAACTGGGCCACTACACTATCACTTTGAAAAGCAATTTGAAACATTGTTCCTTTAGCCACTTTGTAGTAAAATAATTACTCCTGCAGAGATTTCACCTCTTTCCTTCTATTACAGGAAATTTTACAAGCACAAATTTAAAAATCAAGTTTAAGACAAGAAATAATTTTTCTATAAAAGCCGTTGGAACTTGGAATACAACAAAAAGAATGCATACGAAAATGGTGACGTTTGAAACAGAATATTGGTCTTGCGCATGGTTGCCTGAAAAACTGCTGTGTGTGGTTACTGGAATTTGATGCATTCTGAAGCTTTGACAATTTCTACTAAGGTGATTGCGACAATATGCAAGTACCAGTGTTTCTTAAGAATAGTCAAATCATTTCTACAATTTTAGATTTATTAAGATCTGTTTCACAACTTATTTGTAACAGACTAAAAAGTAATAAATAATGTAAGGAATTTGACCTGGAATACTAATAAAATTTAATAGGAAATTTCCATTTTTCGATTATATATATCAATAAGAGATTTAAAGCTGAATTTATGAACTATTCAAAAGATTTTACACAGAAATATTTGTAATGAAAAATAAGTTTAATGTACTCATAAAGCTGTCTGAAGAACACAATTTTATAACTTTAAACAAAGATTTTAAAATGAAAAATATATATCATTTCTTTCAAATACTGAATACAGAACTCATTGGCATAAATTACAAATCTTAAATCCTCAAATGACTATGTACAGTTTTTTTTTTAAACTGCTTACCAGATTATTTAGGACACATAATATACTGCCATTAATAATCAGATGCCTTTTAAAAGAAAAGCGAGATTGTCCTTGCATCATTAATGAATGTCATGAGCCTACCAAGCACTTAGGTAGAAATGTACCTTAGCTACAGCTGTTAAAATGGATGTACAATAACTGAGTGATGCTGAAAGGGACATGATTATAGATACCCATTAATTCAGTCATGAAATTTCTGTCATGAAATTCATGCAGGTCATGAAATTTCTGTCAAATTCAAGACACCTAATGCAATAATTAGAATCTTGAAAATGAAACTCTAAAGACCTGTAAGACTAACCCGAACCGGAGAAAAAAGAATGTCAAAACTTATACCATTCACTGGCATGCGTTTATACTTGGAATCCATGTGTGAGCCAGCAATACAAAAGACAATGATCACAAAATTAAATGCTCACTACCTATTATGATGATGCAAAAAAACACATCACTTATGAACCCCAGAACAGTGGAAGTGCATAATATAGAGTGACAAATCCACACAATGTAACATACTGTGATACATGTTACTATATGCTGTGCAATAGCTATATGCTGTGCAATAGCTATATGCTGTGCAATAGCTATATGCTATGCAATGCACAGATATGGACCTGCTGAATGCCAGATGAACAAAATTAATTGCTCTGTAGCAGTGGCGGCTTGTAATAAGCACTGTGGAACTGCAGCACCCCCAATTTCCACTTATTATTTTTAATATTTAATATAGTGTGCACTTTAGTCTTTAATTCTTTCTTTATACTTTTACAATACATAATCCTTAAGCTTTATGTCAGTAGCCATCCCCCACTTTGTCAAAAAGGTATGAAAGTCTTTGGAACTGCGCACTTCACAGTTCCAGCGATGTTGTGTTTGGCTGTTCTGCGCAAGCGCATACAAAAAGCAGCACGCGAGCCGGGCAGAGAGAAGAACAGTCGCTCTTGCAGTGCCGAAATTCTGGCATGTTGTTCGAAAAAAGATTTCTTTTTACTCCGCATGTGTGGTATTTCTCCACAAGGTGTGGTATTCTGCGTGCGTGGTATTCCTCCACCTTCCACAAGGTGGAACTTCATCATACGGACCATAAACAGAGTTCATGAAAATTTTCAACCTTTTAAAAAATTGCCTTAGTGAAATTCAATCAACATCAAATGCAAAACAAATGCAAAACAATTCCTATTGCTTTTGCAATAGGAATTTTAAAATATCTAAATGATGATAATTTCAAGTTTTGGTTAGAGCTTTTTTATCAGATGCCTCATGTTGAAATAATATACAGTCAAAAGTCGTTAATTCGGACACCCATAATCCGGACCTCAAAGCTACAAACTTTCTGCGCATGCGTCGCGTTCACGCATGCGCACAGGCGTTTAAGAGTGCGCGCAAGACCTTTACGGCTGCGAATATGTTTGTGCACATGCGCGTTTAATGTGTAATGGAGTTATACGCTAAGCTAAAGTTATCTAATTCAGTTAATGTTGCAGATTGCGTTGTTCCTTAATCTTCGAATTGGATCCGGCTTATCATTTTTTGCAGACTGTTAGAGCAATTTTATAAAGTAAGCTTGAACTTTTCGATTATGTCAAATAGAATTTCCGATATAATTTACTACAAAGCGAAAGTATGTTTGAAATCCGAAATCTGTTTATCAATTTCACGCTGCTCTGCGGCAGAAGGGGGGGGCAGAAACGTCATTATTAGATTATGATAGATTAGAAAGATTATGTCAAATAGAATTTCCGATATATATTTACTAATATGTAATTTGTATCTACAAAGCGAAAGTATGTTTTGAAATCCGAAATCTGTTTATCAATTTCACGCTGCGGATTGGAAGTTGATCTGTCAGCACTATCCTTATCTTCAGAGCAGATGTTTTTATTTTATTTGGCTTATAATTCCTTACTATGTATAGTATTTCATGTCTATGTACTCCTTTGATATGATTTAAATCAGGTTCCTCGTCATTATAATTCACTTCCGATAGTTAAGAAAGTGACCCAGAGGTTATTGAAAATGAAAACATTTCCATTGACAAATTAGTCGGTATTCTCAACACAGCAATTATAGGACTTGAACAGCGGACTTTTGTAACTAAACGAGAAATTATGTGTTTTAATAAATTAAAGAGAAGTATTATCACATGAAACGAAGCAACTTACATTGAAATAAATGTTTTAATAAAGTAAACAAATAAATATTAGCTTTTTCTTTTTGTAATTTTGATACCCTTTAGATCATAATTGTTCTTTATTTCATAAATTACGGTTTCATATTTTTAATTTTGTAATTTCTGCATGCCATCTTACCAGATTTAAACTGATGATCTATAATCCGGAAAAATCGATAATCCGGAATCGCCGAAGTCTCGACGAGTCCGGATTAACGACTTTTGACTGTAGAATCAAATGTAATTCAGAGAAATTAGTGTGCTTAAAATTAACGAATATACAACAAATTCCAAAACTGCTGTCTTAGAATTAAGAAACTCAAAGTACTGTGAGAATTTTCCAAAGACACCAATGGCAGAAGAATAGAAGGAAATGTTTGACTTTATACTATGTATTGATATAATGCAGAGATATTCTTCCACTAAATACTTAGCAGCTTCTAAATTGTTAAACAAGAAATGCTTCACTAGTTTTAGGAACGAACATTCTACAGAAGAAATAGTACTGACCACTGAAGCATATCCAATGATTGACAGCTTGAAACTGAACTAAAAATATTCTATTGTAGGTCTGATATCCATGAATACTATAAATTAAATGAGCTAAACGAAATTTATCTTCGAAAATAATCTATATGATTTTCTTAGTGGAATTACAAAACCAATAAAAATTCTCTTGAGAGTTCCCATGACTACATCAGAGCCAGAACGCTGCTTTTCAACATTGAAAAGAATGAAAACTGTTCTAAAAAGCACTAGAATTCGGAAATACTAAATGCGCTTGCATTGCTTTCAATAAAGAAAAATTTCCTCAGTTGTCATCCAGAGATCAAGGAGAAAATTATTGATTGTTTCGCGCAAAGTAAAACAAGAAGAATGGATTTCATTTTTAAATGAATAGACAAAGAGTGAACTGTAAAAATTTTGGTTAAAGTAATTAAGAAATGCTTAATTTTTTATTGTAAGATTTCCTGATGTTTCAAAATAAATTTTCTTTTTATACATGTTTGTTTCCTTTCAGACAATTTTAAAACAAAGGTTAAATTTTTTTGGAACAGCACCCCCACTAATTTTAGCCACGAGCCGCCACTGCTCTGTAGTCATATTTGGCAGAAAAGGAAGAATGGTATCAGCTGGTTTTTATTGGCTTGATGTTGGTTCATTAGTTCCTGTGCTGTGAAGCCTTAAGCTTATAAAGCAATAGCATATAATCCTGTCTTAGTGGTCACCTAGTGGCAACAATTTGGAATGGCCCTTATTTTCAACAAACAGTTCACTCATTCATAAAAGTGAAAGCCATAACCAAGTAGTTTGAGGAAATGGAAGTGAATAAACTTAATTGGCCAGCTCAAAACCCTCATCTCTATCTAAATCCAGCATCCCAGAGATGATTTAAAATGCCACCCTGAAAGATGAACCAAACTGTTCCAAAACCAATACAGTTTGTTTAACTGTAGAATTAAATAAAACAGTAACTGTAGAACATCTATCAAACTTAGTGACATATACACTGAAGTGATAAAAGTCATGGGATACCTCCTAATATTTTGTCGGTCCTCCTTTTGCCCAGCGAAGTGCAGCAACTTGATGTGACATGGACTCAACAAGTTGTTGGAAGTCCCCTGCAGGCATATTGAGCCATGCTGCCTCTATACAAGTCCATAATTGTGAAAGTGTTGACAGTGCAAGGTTTCGGGCACGAAATGACCTCTCGATGATGTCCCATAAAGGTTTGATGAGATTCATGTCGGGCGATCTAGATGGCCAGATCATTCGCTGGAATTGTCCAGAATGTTCTTCTAACCAATCGCGAACAATTGTGGCCCGGTGACATGGCACATTGTCATCCATAAAAATCCCATCGTTGTTTGAGTACGTGAAGTCCATTAATGGCCGTAAGTGATCTCCAAGTAGCTGAAGGTATCCATTTCCAGTCAATGATCAGTTCAGTTGTAGCAGAGGACCAAGTCCATGCCATGTAAAAACAACCCAGACCATTATGGAACCACCACCAGCTTGAACAGTGCCTTGTTGACAACTTGGGTCCATGGCTTTGTGGGGTCTGCGCCACACTTGAACCTTACCATCAGCTCTTACCAACTGAAATCGTGACTCATCTGACCAAGCCACGGTTTTCCATTCGTTTAGGGACCAACCGATATGCTCACGAGCCCACGAGAGTTGCTGCAGGTGATGTCGTGCTGTCAGTAAAGGCACTCGAGTCAGTCTTCTGCTGGCATAGCCCAAGGAAGACAAATTTCGCTGCACTGTCCTATCGGACACATCCCACATTGATTTCTGCAGTTATTTGACGCAGTGTTACTTGTCTGTGAACATTGACAACTCTACGCAGACGTCGCTGGTCTTGCTCGTTAAGCGCAGGTGGTCGGCCACTGTGCTGTCCATGGTGGGATGTTATGCCTGAAATTAGATACTCTCGGCACACTCTTGACACTGTGGATCTCGGAATGTTGAATTCCCTTACGATATCCGAAATAGAATGACCCATGCGTCTAGTTCCAACTACCCTTCCACGTTCAAAGTCTTAATTCTCGTCGTGCGGCCATAATCACGTCAAAGCCTATTCACATGAATAACTTGAACACAAATGAAAGCCCTGCCAAAGCAACTTCGCATTTATACATTTTCTATGCGATACTACTGCCATCTGTATATTTGCATATTGCTATCCCATGACTTTTGTCACTTCAGTGTATTACGATATGGCATATGCGATGATAGCAGGGACCATTAATCTACATCATATGAATTATAGTTGAACATTAATATATATCATATTGATTACAGTTAAGCAACTTTCTACAGGTGAGCAATCATTAATGGCAACATAACATTTATGACACAGCATTCAGTTTAACACCGAGTAAATACATTTCTTTGAACACTTATTTAAGGTACTTTAGGGCAGAAAATAAGTTAAACACCAAAGACAAATAAAATAGTCTCTATAATTAAGCAATATATTTTCTTAATTGCAGAGATGTCATTAGAACACATACCTTTTCATTTCTTATTTTACTCAAATATTCATCAAAATCATCCTTTATACTCTGTATAAAGAGAAAGACCAAAATTATTTTAACATATTTGAAAACTATACTAGTATAATAAAATACAAAAACATTCATTGGTTATTTTGAATACTGTATTTTATAATATACTATTCAACATTGGAATTTCAGAACTAAAAAGGAAAGATTATAGAGATTTGAAACTCGCAAGTTAGTCATATGCAAATGATCCAAATTGAAAATGCATCCAACATAGGAGGGACTACATGTGCTTACACATAATAACATTATCAATGAGATTATTAATCATTATTTCAGAATGTTTTTCACGTGCAAGTATTTAGGCATATAAAACATCGACAGCTGTTAGAGAATGAACAGTTATGCCTCTTGTCACAGCCTATCAAATTTATCCCAGATGTGCTTGATGAGAGAAATCCATAGATGTGATAAAACTTGATAGTCTGGTAGTAGGAAGTATAGTAGAAACTTGGCAGTAGGACGTGAAGTCATGCAGATTATTCTTAACACCATGAACAACATGCAGTTAACATTATGTTAAAATATAGCTACTGGAGTATCCTGTAAGTATTGTTATATGAATGACTATGATCAAATTAACATAATGTTAAGCTGTTGGTACACCAATAAAGAAGATTAGAAGTGTCAACCCACTGTTTATTTATGCAGTCATTATTATTTCAGAAACAGGATTAGTATCAATAGCTAAATTTATATAATTACTTATTTTAGTCTATGTTTTCATAAACCTCCATTCATTAAGATCATATCTACATCATTAAAGATTCAAAGCAAAAAAAACAAAATATTTTAAATTATAAGCTAATATATAGCAGGAGACAAAAAATATGATCGGATGATGACAGTCATGCCACTTGGAGGATTAAGAAGGTATGTATAATTTAAAAGAAATCTAAATATTGTTATAATTAAAAGGGGAAAACGAAACAAATGTTAACTGAAAGACTTTTTTTAGCTGATTGATAAGTGAGTGATACTTTTTTTTTTAAGCTAGTGAGTTTTGACTGGAGAAATGACTGATGAAGCCCTTTAAAAATTTTGTGGTAAGGGGTGCACAATTTTTTATTCTTCTCATAAAGTATCATTTTCCCTCTTCATCTGGTCAGTCGAAAACCAGATAATTCCTGTGCCTTTGTGCTTTTTTTTAACAATTTGTTTAACCACTTGCAGTAAAAAGATGTGCCACACATGTCGAGATGCTTTTGTCTCAAACCACGTGCAAAAATGAAAATAACATGGTGCACACGTCGCCTAACAACGAAAATATTTATTTCTCGAGTTACAGCTTTGGATTGCACTCGCAGCCGCAGAACTGCGTAAATGAGACACTTTACCGCTTGTTATACTGTAGCGCATGGCACCGCAACCGTGAAGTTTAGTCGTAGCGCAAGTGGATAACTAAGTTAAAAGCACTTTTTCTTCTTTTTCTTTTGTCGAGTAGTGTTATAAGATCCCCCAATTCTTCATCCAGCACGTCTCAATTAATTCTAACTTCATCCTCTTCCACACCTGAATTTTTTTTCCCCCACTAGTCATTTTTACATTACGTACAATTTCTTTGGCTTCATTTTCAGTCAATGGAAATCTTTTAAAACTGTCAATAACTTCTGGCCAGAGCCGATGCCAGCAAATATTGAGTATTAATGAATGTTGAACCATATATGTAAGAATCAAGTATAAATACAGTGTGTAAATAAAATTCTAACATTGGAAAAATAAAAGAGAAACAAGTAAGACAATGTGTATATTTAAAACTACGTTCTGTAAAGTTGCAATCAACAAGGGTACCTCTAGTGTTGCATCATTATAAATCTTTCAGCCAGGCTTTTCTTTACCAGAGAATAAGATTTTTTAATGTTTCAGTTTCTCATAATTATAAATTGCATATGAGCTTTAAGTTCAATTTGACATTTTTCTTCAGTTCATGAGTCATCATACTATAAAGCAAGCATGAAACTCCCATGTTAAAAATCTTGTGCCTTCTGACATTGGATGAAAAAAAACACAAAACAATATTTGGTACTATTCCGTTTTGAGGACAGTAAAAAAATTGCAGCAAAAATGCATGCACAAAAGCGCCGAATCTAGCAAACGTGCCCATTTAACAGCATGCCAAATCTAGAGTATGCGCTGATTTCTGCGCAAGTTTATATAGTTCTATTTTTCTTAAGACGACATTGAAATACTAGTTTAATTTTTAGATCCTTTTTTGATTTTAAATCATTGTTTGATATCCTATGGATTTAACAATTTGGAAATTGCCCATGACGAAAAGTCTGCAATAGAATTTTGGGTAAAGTGCGGAATCACCCACTGCTTCACGTGTTTTTTAAGAATGGCATATACTCTGTATCCATGCACACATCAACCTATTCTCACTTAAAAAAAATCCCAGAATTGCACAAAAATGGCACTGTGCACACCCAACTTTATCTATGTACACATCGACCTATTTTCACTTAAAAAATAAAAGAAAATTGACAAAAATCCAATTGCCATTTACCCTTGTAAAAAGTGGCAAACAAATAAGTAGGTGATTCTGCACTTTACCAAGAATATTTAAAAAAAAAAAAAAAAAAAAAGGCATCATTCATTATAGAAAATTATGTTTGAACAACCAACGAGATGAAATTATGCTTTAGCGATACCTCGGTAGCGAAAGATGCGATGCAGACATCCATTCAATTATGTTTAGCAATTTTTATATAAATAATAATGATTTGAAAATTTACTCTTATGCTTCCATTCAGTCATGTTTAGCCTTTTTTATATAAATTATAATAAAAAAGTATTATATGAAATTAACCTTTCATCTAAATTAAAACATCAATCTTAGATAGTTATTTACTATTATACTTCCTTTCTTGTGTTAGGGTTGCCGCAATTATTTTTGGCAGCACTGGCATCAACAATAGTTTAGCGATTTTTTACGGCCGTCAAAACCGAATAGTACCCAATATTTGAATAAATAGGTTTTTCTTTTTATTCCGCAGCCATTTGATAAATTATATTTGAGCATTAAAATTATCTGCAACTTTTTTTTTTTTACCCAAATGGCCTATAGTCTCAAAATGCTATTTTGTGTTCATTCTTTCAACACCTTTCTCTTTTCATTCGAGTCTGTTGCCATTCAGCAAAATATAAGATATTTATCTTTCAAATTTAATATCTCTTACTAAACTAAGCTATTGAAAAGGAATAGATGCAGTTCTTAAAAATATTTTTTTGCTTTTTAATCTAACTGATTTAAATTAAAAATTCATTTAATTCATGATACGTATATCTAATTAAAAACACCATTTTTGTAAAATTATGTTACATATTTCTTCCCTATTTAGTCGAAATGCATATTCATCTAGTATCTTATAAAATGTTTTGCTATTCTACTACGCCATCTCTATTGATAATCTCTGCTGATAAACCATATTAAATTTTCAAAAAGCCCATCTGAACAAACATAAAAATCTAAACCTGTCCAGATTTTTTTTTAATGCTTAACTAAAAAGGTTCATTTATAGTATAGGCCCTTTTTCAAAAGTGAAGTCTTCCTTTTCATCTTCAAATTCAGTTACCTTAGCATTTGGAAAGACAGTCATGCCTTTCCAAATGCTATTTTTTGGAAAGACAGTCATGCCTTTCCAAATGCTGAATAGTTAACTGAACTTCGTATTTTTTCATCATTAGGAAAGTTAAAAGAAGTATTTGAGTGGAATAAGGATGAAGGACTGATTGGTTCAAAATAAAATACTTAGTTTACAAGAATGACATAAAATTTGTGGTGCATAAAGCATTGTCATCAGCAAATTTGCTATTTACTTGGCTTCAACTCTGGTGAATTTAAGAGACAAAAGAAGTACAGAAATAGTATCAAGATCCTTACCCAGTGTTTTCACAGTGCATTAAAATTATTTGCAAACCATAGCTTTCAGATCAGGGTAAAAACTAAATGTAAATTTATATTTGTTCCATTACCAGTTGCTATTTCTTACAATAAAACTTTTATCGACATGATGCCCCTTCACAATACAGTACAAAGTCTTTAATCCGGACGTCCATAATCCGGATGATCTATAATCTGGACCTCAAAGCTACAAACCTGTGCATGCATAGCATTTACGCATGCATATAATACCTTTACACATGCGCATAATACGTTTACATATGCGCATTTAATGTACAACGGACGGTATAAGCTACGCTAAAATCATCTAATTATCTATTTCAGTTAATGTTGCAGATTGCGTTGTTGCTTAATTTTCTAATTGCATCTGGCTTATTATTTTTTGCAGACTGTTAGAGCAATTTTTATAAAAAGTAAGCTTGAACTTTTGATTATGTCAAAAAGAGTTTCCGATGTCCATCCAACAAAAAGTGGAATTGCTGCAAAAATGGATAAAGGCACGAAGAAAGTGAGAGAGGTTAGTGAAAATGAAAAAATTTTGCTTGACAAGTTAGTCAGTATTCTCGACACAGCAATTACAGGACTTGAACAGCGGAACTTAGTAACTGAACAAGAAATTATGCCTGTTTATAGAATTAAAGAGAAAGTATTAGCACATAAAAGGAAGCAACTTGAACAACTTACATTGAAAGAAATGTTTAATGAAGTAAACAAATAAATATTAAGCTTTTTTTGTAAATTTTGATAACCTTTAGATCATAATTGCTCTTTATTTCATAAATTAGTTTCATATTTTTAATTTTATAATTTCTGGATGCCATCTTACCAGATTTAAATTGATGATCTATAATACGGAAAAACCCCTAATTGCTGAAGTCCCGACGAATCCGAATTAAAGACTTTGTACTGTATTGCTAACAAGCTGCCATTTTTAAAAGTATGTTTGCCTTTGATGCAATAGATGGTGCATGTGTTTCTGTGACCTCTTTTTTTTTTTTTTTTTTTTTTTTTTAAGGCTCAAAATCTTGAAAAAATATTCCTCACCAAGAGCATAACTAACAAGTATCAATTTATTTTATGTTGGTTAAACACTGTCAGTAAATGTTCGTATCATAATTTCTTGCACAAAACCAATGGCACAGTAAAACAACAAAAGATCAAAGCTACTTAGAAAAATGCACGGATTAAAAAGTACGTTAAATACTCTATGTACAGCTACAACACAGTTTAGGCTTGATAAAAATGAGAGTAAAAGCAGATTAAATTTACAATAAAAGTCAGTATCATTAAAAACTGGAACAACTTATAATGAGGTTGTCTTCCTATTAAATTTCCTAAATCCAGATAGAAAGAATTAAAATTCTTTAGGCAAAAACATTTAAAACAATGTCTTCGACTTTCAGAAGATGCAGAATCAATCAACAGAGACCATTTCTGAAATAAGTTAAGAGTACTTTTTCCCTTCTACTTAGCATAGACTGTCAACACTCGATAGTGCTTTTAACACTTCTATCTTATAGTTTCCTTGATCATCCCAATGCATCTGCCATTTATTGAGAATTTTGCATTTGATCAATGACCTGATATCTGCGAGTGGGACCTGAAGGTTGGACATTGTAGTAACAGTCTTAGCTTGTACTGTCTTAGTAATACCCACTACTTCATTCTCTTTTATGCTAGCCTGGCCAGAGATCCAGGATTAGAGAATATGATTAAGCTTCAGAATTCTATAATAATGAGATGTGAACAATAAGCAAGATCTTTTTAATGATGTTATTGTGCTCAATCTTATTTTAGAAAGGAAAATTATTAATAATAAACTTAATTTTTAAACTGTACATGCAACCAGATTTTAATTCTAAGTACACTGCTATAAAAAATTACCTCAAATATATTACATAAACATTTTTCAAAATTTCAATTTAAATCTTGAAATTGCTTACATCAGAAAATCATTACATTAAAATTATACATGTCACATCATTTGTTTAAAAATAAAACAGTTCTCAGTATATTCCAGAATATTAAACAAAAATGTTCTCAATACATTCGAGCATAATGAATTTAACAACCATGTCAGAAAGTGCATAACGCACAAGTTAATATTAGCTTAACATAAATTTGCAAATAGCTTTTTAATAAACCAAAAAGTTCTTTTCGTATAATAAAAGCACAGTTTTCTAAATAAATGCGTATTTAAAAATGTATACCGAGTAAAATTAACAGATGAAACATTCCAGATAAATAAAAAAATTTTAAACACATCAGTTCAGTATAGTTAACTACATATACAGTTCAATATACATCAAATAACAGTATATAACCTACATACAAAAAATATTAGCAAACAAAAGATACCTACTGTTTCATATGCTGATCTATTTCTATCCATGTATTCAGCACAACATTCTCGCAGTTTAACATGGTGAATTTGAGTATAAAATAGCTAGAACATTAATTTACATAAAATTATAAAATTCATAGTTATAACTGAACATTACAACAAATTTCTAAATATTAAACCGTTTCAAATATCTAAATATCAGTTGATGACTATGGGAAAATACAATTTAATATAAAAAGATGGCATAAGAAATGTCATTCTTTCTTATCATATAACAAAACAACAAAATCTCATGAATACCCAACTTTCAGTATAGTCTTTTGCTTAATTTATAACACTTATTCAAGAAAAGTCGCGCTTATAAAGAACAGAACCGTTATTTTCGTCTGCTCTGCCAGACGGACAAATTAGACAGATGCTTATTTTGAACGTGTTAAATCTTTCTGCCCGACAGTTAAATATTGAGAAACAAAGAAGAATGGTCAATTTTATTTCAAAGTAACAGTCATTTCGTAGCATTTAAATTTAAAAATGGAAAAGCTAAAAGAAATTAAGAATAAAAAAAATTATGCGCTTGAGCTAGATACAGAAAATGAAAGAGAAGTGCAAGTAATCTAAAAATTAATGTTTTATAATGTAACAATAAAAAACGTATCGTAAATTAAAGACGTTTGTGTGCTTTATCACCTAAATATGTTGCTCTCTGATGTGCTATGAGATAAGAAAAAAGTAAAACCGTTGTTCCCGATACGATTTCACGCGCTCCCGTGTTCAGCTTGTTTTTTTCTTATGAAGAGTGGATTATTCGGGATCCGATTAGTGTTTTGTGTTATTCAGTGTGTTTCTACTGTAATTCTGGTCTTAATTACTGTGGATTAATACGTTTTTGACCGTGTTTTGTGCTATGGTGTGCGTTGTGGGTGTTAAGCCTAACACGTGCTAGTGTCAGCAATGGATCCGAAGGATTACCCGCCGCTTCCTCCGCCCGAGGTTGTGAACGTTAGTAAAGAAAATCTCTCTGGTTTACCCGAGGAGATATGTGCGTATGCAGACAAGGTGTTAGGAAAAGGTTGGAGTCAGCTATTAAACAAGGATTGTTACGATGCGGAGGATTATCAACTCGCGCTTCAGCAAGTTCTGCTTCTGAATGTTGCAGTTCATGTAGATGAGCAGTTAACGGAAGATGATCTCAATACATTATCCAGTGAGGAGGATAAGCAAAAACGTCTGGATATACACCAAAAAAGGAGTGGAATAGCCAAAAGACTGGCTTTGTTATTTCAGGGTAAGTGCGACGTTTTTAGTGCCCAAAATCCTAGTATTGTAAATTTATCTTGTGATAAGTTGAATGTGAATGTTGTTAAGCATGTCCCTAAGATGCAGGTTATATCTACTGTTAATTCTGTTAACTGTAATGATACTATATCAAGTGTAAAAAATGTTAGTGATAAATCTGGTGCAATTGCACAAACTCCTAGCGGAGAAAAAACAAAAATTTTGCTTAAACGGCCTTCGAAAAAAGGAAAAAGATGTGTGAGCGAAATTCAGGATTCAGAAGGCTTTACACAGCCGCGTAATACGGCTCGGCCTGCTAAATTAGTCAAAGCTAATGCAGAAATTAATGTTAGCAATAAATTTGATAAGCTAGGTGAAAATGCTAATGCAGATAATACTGCCACTAATAATGATATGGAAGTTAGTGAAGAGAATGAGGTTATTGAAATGCAACAACCGAAGGTGAAACCGATAATGGTGAAGCCTCCAATTAAATTTTCGGATTTCTCTAAAAAATTGAGGGCTGAAACTAATTTAGACTTTGCAGCTAAAGTTACTGGCGAGTTTTTAAAAGTTTTTCCGAAAACGGAAAATGATCACCGTCAGATAACAAAATATTTGGATGAAAAAAGTGTAGATCATTATTTAATTACCAGAAAGATGGATAGGCCCATCAAAATAGTTATAAGAGGTTTACCTATCGATTGCCCCTCAGATGACATTTTTGAGGAGCTGGTTAATTTAAAGTATAAACCTCGAAAAGTTACCCAAATGCACAGAACCAAATCTAAGGCTCCTATGCCTTTGTTTCAGGTTCATTTAGAGAATGTACCAGGGGTGCAATCTATTTATGATGTTAAAAAACTGCTATGTTTCTTTGTTGAAATACATCCTTATAAAGTGCGTGGAAATGTTGTGCAGTGTCACAACTGCCAACACTTCCACCACAGTAGTGAAAATTGCAAACTACAACCAAGATGTGTGAAATGTGCGGGTGCACATCGTACTGATAAATGTAATGTTAAAAAATTAGACTCTCCTATTTGTTGTAATTGCCTGCAAGAAGGACACACCGCCAATTATCGCGGATGTCCGAAATTCCCCCGACGCATAGTCGGAAATAAAACTGTGAATAAGAGTGCAAACTCAGAAAATGTAAATAATGGTGTTAAAATGCCTAGTACTTCTAATGCAAATTTGAGTTATTCTGCTGTTGCCTCCGGGCGCAGTTATGCTAGTGTAGCCAAGGGTGACGTTCAAAGATCTGTAAATACTGTTAATAATTTTAATGTTGATATGCATAAACAGACTGTCAGCAGTGGTGGTGCTGCTAGTGCTACTGTTGGTTCGGGTATGTTTATGGACTTTCTCAAAATAATCAAAGAGGTGTGTGATGTTTTTAAAGGCACCACAGTTATGAATGTTTTTCAAAAAATCTCGGCAGCCATGCCTGAATTGCGGGCTGCGGAGCATTCAATCGATAAGTTGTTTATATTATTTAAATTTTTGACAGTGTTTTTTTCCAATGTTGAATAATTATGTATAGTGTAAACAATAGGTACTTAAGTATTATTACTTGGAACGCAAATGGTTTGTTCCGTAAGATTAATGAATTGCGGGATTTTGCAAGTGAGCACAGTCCCGACTTATTTTTCCTACAAGAACACAAGCTTGACCCTAAAATACCATTGTGTGTGGCAAATTACTATACCTACAAGTCGCACAGAAGTACTACCGCTCCTCGCCCACGTGGAGGTGGCACTGCACTTCTTGTCAAACGCTGCATTCCCCATTATCACGTGAACATTCCACAGCTCTCAGCCGTAGAGGCCACAGCTATCTGCATCACAACAGACACTAACACTCCATACACTTTTGTCTCCACCTACATTCCTCCCATGAGACCTGTGGCTGTCGTTCAGGCAGACCTTGAAATTCTACTCACACTTGGTACACATGTTATTATTGGTGGAGACTTGAACGCAAGACACCGCGCATGGAACTGCTACACTTCTAATGCAACAGGCAGACTGATTTATTCCTTGGCCGCGTCGGCACGGTTTAAATTGGCAGTTCCAAGTACCCCAACACGGTATGCTGCTGGGTCCACCGCAATTATTGATTTTTTCCTGTTGCGGAACACCAGTTCTCCACTGGATATTTCCGTACTGGACGAACTTTCAAGTGATCACAATCCTGTTAGGATTATTCTGGACCTCAGCAGATATACTACATCAGACACCAGGGCCTTTCGTACAGACTGGCAGGTCTTTGCCAAAGCCCTCTCCAACACCCAGTACACTTTACCCACGATACACAAGGGGAGTGACATTGATAGTTTGGTCAAGGACCTCACTGAAAATATACAAAATGCTTATGCGAAAGCACAAGTTGAAGTTAAACCTGGTATGAAACACAAGCCTCAAGAGCTCAGATTATTGATTAAAGAGAGAAATGCTGCAAGACGAGCGTATCAACGTACCAGACACCGTGATGATAAAAGGAACTTCAATCGCCTGTGCGAAGCGGTCAAGTTTCTTACAAATAAACTCTCACAAGATCGCTGGACTAACTACCTCAGATCTCTTTCTGCAGAGGATAACTCCTTATGGAAAGCAGTGAAGAGGTACAAAAAATGCTATAACGCCATTCCGCCCCTTCACGGCCCTCAACGGATCCATTACACCGGAACTGAGAAAGCAGAACTTTTAGCTCAGCATCTGGAATCTCAGTTCTGCATTAACAACATTTCAGACTCAGACACTGAACAGCTTATTGCTGACTTCCACTCCAATTTTACAACACAGCCATGCACAGACAACATTATCTCAGCCATGCCATCGGAGGTCTGTCTCTATATCATGCGAATTGCGAAAAGGAAGAGCCCTGGAGTAGACGGGGTCACAAATGAGATGATCAAGCACTTCCCTGTCAAGATAATACTCTACTTCACCAAGTTAGTGAATATCATACTACGATGGCAATACTTTCCCAACTTGTTGGAAAACTGCCAAGATTGTCCCTCTGCTAAAGCCCAACAAGCCTGCGACTGCTCCTGAGAGTTACCGACCAATCAGTTTGCTAAGCTCAATTAGCAAAATCGTGGAAGCAGTTATTCTACATAGACTAAACATCTTCCTGGATGAGCAGAAGATCCTCATACCCTATCAGTTTGGGTTCAGGCGTAAGCACTCGACAACGCATCAACTCTACAGAGTTGTTGAGTTAATAAGCAGTGGGATGCAACAACATCGTGTCACTGGTGGACTTTTCTTAGATGTCGCCAAAGCCTTCGATAGAGTATGGCTGGATGCCCTCATATACAAATTACACAACCTGGGACTCCCAGGCTACATCACAAAACATAATTAAATCCTACCTAACCGGTAGACACTTTGTCGTTCATGTTTCTGGTTCATTATCCACAAACCGGCCTATACGGGCTGGTGTTCCACAGGGATCCCTTCTGGGCCCTACCCTATTCAATATTTACGTGAACGACATCCCCACTACACACAACACAACACTAGCCATGTATGCAGACGACACAGCGATCCTTACGCAAAGTGCATTTGTTAGTTCAGCAATACAACAGCTACAACACCAACACCACATCCACTCGCTAGAGACTTGGCTGACCAAATGGAAAGTCAAAGTGAATGTCGACAAGACACATGCCATACTGTTTACTACTAAGAAGAATTTCCCGACTCACCTGCAAATGTATGGTGTGGACATTCCCTGGGTCAAGCAGGTCCCTTATCTTGGGGTGATCCTCAGTAAATCTCTTACATGGAACCCACACGTTACACATATTCTCAGGAAGT